AGTCTTCACTACATATATGAGTCTGAACAGACATGGATGTTAACTACTTGGAAGAGGCACACAACAGCGAGGTGGTAATTCTAGCTTACTTTATACTGGTGGTGTGATAACATACGACAAGTTCTACCTACAGGCCTATGACTTATCTGTGTCTATATGTACGTGTGTCATGAAGTAAACATGGCCTCATTAGACAGTTTCAGGTTTTGGTTTGTGTACCACCGACTGAAAAATGCTGGGATGATTTAAGAGTGTTTCTCTTCACTTCCATCTTTCTGTGCCAAAAATGCAAAATAAATTCTGAGCTGACACAGAGATACAGTGACACAAACACACAAAGGGAAAAGGAGCGATACTGTGAATGTTTGCATACTCGTCTCTCTCTGTATCAATAGTCTCCTGTATACCAACCTGAAGGCTCAAACATTGAAACAAGCTGTACTGTGAATCTTTGAGGAATCAACTTTCTTTTTTTTCTTACACACTTTCAGGTCAATATGTATGTCACTGTCACAAAAAAAAACAACAACATTTTTTTATTAACACTACATCATTCAAATGTCATACAGACCTTCCACTTTAAATGAAGACCAAAAGACAGGCATATGGTCATGCTCGTGTACATTATCTATTATACTGACACTATCTGGAAAAACTGGAGAGCAGGAGAAGGAGAAGAGAAAGAGGAAAAAGTAGCAGAGGAGCTGGTAAGACAAAGATGGGAGGAGGAAAAGAAGAGAGGAGGAAAGAGATAAACAGGAGGAAGAGGAGCAAGAAAGAGATAAGAGGGAGGGCAGAGAATGACAGGAGAGTAAAAGATAAAAAAAAACAAGAGAACTGGAGTAAGAAAAACAGGTGAGAGAGGAAAGAAAAAGACAGAAAAGGGACACAATGAAGTGAGAAAGTCAGGAAACACCTGAAAACGTACACTGATGGATCAGATGGTCTTACTAGGACAGTTGGCTAGAACTGACCCATTGTTAATGTTATTATTGATGTCTTAACACCAGCACTGAAGACAAGTAAAACTGCTGTGAAAAAGGCCAACTGAGAACTTACACGTATGATCAGAAAACTATTCACTTTAACATTTTCAGTTCAGATGATGGTGGCGCTACTTTCACTTCTCGCTCACTGCGCTTCGTGTTGAGACGCCGCGAGGTGAAAGAGAAACAGTGGGTCAGCGTGTCACATGTCACGAGTCAATACAGGAAGTAACCTGGCAGCTGCGGACGAGCTAAACATCAGCAATGAACATACGGGTGACCTAATCTCCGAGACTTAGACCATACAGATACAAGAACTAATGTGGATGCCACCAGACTGTGTCACAACGCGAATGATACCAGGATGGAGAGAGCAGCCGCAGTCGTCATTTTCTCGCTCATTTTCTCGACATCGCAGGTAAGTAACGATAGTAACGGGCTCTTAGCAACCGACGGGCCGGACAGCTGAGCGTACCGTCGAAAAACAACAGCTAATGAATACTGTGCACTGTGTGGCTCATATTAATAGTGTGTGACAGTCGAGGCACTGTGTGAAATTGTGTCTGTGAAGCGTCGTGGTTGGGTTGTGTCGGTGAGCTAACGTTAGCGCTGTCGGTAGCCTCTGCTCGTGTGGGTAAAGCTGGAAAACTGAGTGTTTGTGCTGCTTTGGTGTTACACGAGAAGGACCGGCGTTAATGCAGCGTTAGAGAAAGGTTTCCAAAAGTGACATTCAATCAGAAAAAGGTGGTTAGGATATAGATAATACAGCTAACAGGAGTTGAGTTTGAGGTTGGGCGGAAGGTGCTTTCCCCGACGTCCTCTGTCACGTCACCAACAAGGAAGTGTTTATGTGTTTACTTCACGACATGTGTGATCACATTACAGTCTGTCTTTGTCACAGCAGTTAACCTAACCTCTTGATATTACATCTGTAATGGGAAACACAAGTCTACTGAAGGCTTGACAATGGATTCAAGTCAGCCTGGTATTTTGTTGATATGCAAATAAGGTCACATCATTTGAAGGACTATATTTGTGTGTAGGGCAAGTCTTCATTCACCTAGTGGTCTGAAAAACTTAAAATTGGTGTTAAATATAATCTGGTTTCAGTCTAGAGTTCACAACCTCTTTGGTTGGTTTGAGATCCCTTAAAATATTAGCAATGTGAACTTGTTACACACTCCTACACAAGTCCTTAGAGTGGGCAGGAGTTGCATGCAGTTCAACCAACAACAGATTTATTTAATGGTTTAATTTGGTTTAATTTGAATGATTTTGTACATGTAGCTCCAACCTGCTGGGATGCAGCATTTATTAGTTGTTTGTCAGCTCAGCCACAGTTAATCTGCTGCTTTCTGTTCACACCTTCAGCCTGCATAGTGTCTTAGAAATACACTTTCTTCAACACTTTAAAGTTTGTATGGCACTTACAATAATAACATTTCTTTCCCAACAGATAAACTGCCAAGAGGCCATCTTGCAGATTTCAAATGGAAACACAAATAGGGAGTACTGCATTGTCTACAATCAGTCCTGGACCCCCCTGTCTCAAACCCTTGGTGCTGCTGTAAGTTCTTCAAACCAGCACTTTTCTATAATGACTTACTATTAACAGGAAAGGAAAGTAACTATTGTTGTGTCTTAATATATATATATAACAACCTCTCCTAATTGTTAAACCACTTGTCTTTTCCAGGTGCAGTATCCACTGGTGAACATGACCTCCAGTGTGCTGTGTAACAGCTCCGGGATCAGTCCAGATGTGGTCAAGGGCAAAGCGCTGGTGGTGATGCGGGGGGATTGTGATTTCAGCCACAAAGCTCTGGTTGCTCAGAGCCTCGGAGCTACAACTCTGCTCATTGCCAGCAACAACACTTTGGTAGGACGTGTACATCAGTTTGTATTTTGTTAGTGGTTTAAGCACAAAGGGTAGGACTTGACATTTTCTTTAAGATGTCAGATTTTTTAAATGTTAACTAACTTCCATGAGGACCCAGTAGCTTTTGTTTGTGCCTGATTTATTCCACTAGTGTCAGGATGTTACACTGTAACATGATTCACATGCAGAAGTGATTCAGAAACGAGGAAGTGACATACCAGTGGCACAGATGTGGAGGCTTACATCTAAATATATACACTTTCTATGTAAAACAGATTGTCTTTGTTTCCTGTCATCGTGTTTGCTTCACTTTCCCATAGGGATGCACTATATTCTATTCTTGCCGATATACATAATGTATTATTATGCCCACTCTGCTGGCGGATGCAGACAGAATAAATATAAATATAGACTGATACGACGTCATACCCTCTCTATGCTCACGTAGCTGGTAATGTCATCTTTGGCTAGCGCACTGGGTGACACAGTGTCGATCATTTAGCCTAGTTAACCGTATAATTTTATCTTATCGACTTTTAATATCAGAAGAAATGTTCTTATGCTCTTATCGGCCAATAACGATAACGAGCCTATATCTTCATCCACCCCTACTTTCTCATCTGTTCGACCGTAAACCACCAAAGGCAAACAAATGTTCCCAAGTCTCATCAACTGAATTTATAAAAATGTCTTTTGTACTACTCGGCTCTTCAGGTCACTCCATCTGCCAACGACTCCGAGTATGCAAAGGTCCACATTCCTCTGGCTCTCATGAGGTACAGGGACTTCCTGGAAGCACAGCAGGTCAGGAAGTCTTCACTCTTTCTGCTTCTGCTCTGACAAAGACAGTCAGACTGGATGCAGCGTTGCTCATTAAATGTTTAATCTTTGTGTGTGTGTGCTCAGGTGTTTGGTGAAGGAATGCAGGTGAAGCTTTATGCTCCACCTCACTCTAAGATTGATCCAAGCATTGCAGTCATGCTACTGATTGCCATCGTCACGGTCGCCTTGGGAGGCTACTGGAGCGGGGCATGTGAGAGGTGAGACGTTGTAGCTGTACATACAGAGCGTTATCTGTACAGTTTAGTACAATCAAACTAAAGCACATATTAGAAGAAGATATAGTTTTGTTTGTATGCAGTCACAATGTAACTCTGTATGTTCATTCCAGTGTGAATAAATGATTTACTGAACATAGAAAAGATGGAGCAGTGCTATTATATCAGACTGCATTAAATAGTAGGGTCCACCCTCTGTGAATCAGTATAGTTGATGCCGTCTGCGTGTTTTTTCAAAAAGCTACAAGTTTTATAAACAATAGGCTCGAAATACATGCAAAAAAATCCCTGTGTTTTTCTGTTTGTGGCAGGGACCGGTTGAATAGTGGTACAGAAGGGGGAGGGGGAGATGGCAAAGCAGACAGTGGAGAGCTTTTCCTGTACTCTCCTCTGAAAGTGGTTATCTTTGTTGCCCTGATGTGTGGGATGCTGGTCCTCATGTACTTCTTCTATAACATCCTTGGTGAGTGGAACAAAAAACAGTACTTGTATACTTTTAAAGGAGTTACAACATCTGGTGTTTTGTTGACGTGATCTGTGTTTTTCTGGTTTACTCAGTTTACATCATCATTGCTATATTCTGCATGGCATCCGCCTCGGCACTCTTCAGCTGTCTAGATGCGGTGATGGAAAAAATCGGTTGTGGCACTGTGAGGTATGAGCATCACTCACACAAAGACTGCACACACACACACACACACACACACATACACATGCAAACACATTTTCCACTAGTGTTGGGTAAATATAAACAAAACAGGTGTGTATCAATAATACCTGATGAACAGCCCGGTTCATATGATTATGTGTGAATGTTTTAATTCTCTTCCTGGTTTCTCCAAAATGATCCTTTTTCCATTTTAAAACAGACCGACATTGTGGTCACAGAGGGAAGATGTGAAACAGAGCTGTGTGTGTTTTTACTTCCTTCTCCTAACATGTTTGTCTCTGAATCGCACCCTGGCACACAAGCCTCAACTGCTGACAGCCTTTGTTTATTTGACTGTCTGTGTCTTTTTCTAGCTTCTCTGTCCGAAATTGGAACTTCTCGGTGAGGTCTCTCATCCTGGCTGCTGTGTGCATCAGCATTGCAGTGATCTGGGGAGTCTACAGGAATGAAGACAGGTACTGTAGGGGGACACATGCGCACAAAACACAACCGTAATCCTTCTGTCTGTCTCACTCTCACACATGGCTGCGCCACCGCCACAGGGGACTATTTTAGTGTTGAAGCAGGAAGTGCTCGTTGCAGCAGTACTTCTGACCTTTAACTGTCAGTTACGGTATTCTCTAAATTATAGATTAATTAGCTTAAATAACCTTACTCACATACCATAGGTGGTGATGTTCAATGTGATAATGATGATGGCAGGGTTTTCTTTTGTAGGGTGTTAGTTCCCACTGTGTCACTTGATTTCCTGTCTGTGCTATATCCTCTTTAAATAGAGCCATTGTAGACAGTGACTGTCACACAGGCTAACGTTAAAACACAAGGTAAAATAGTTGTTTGTGTCCCTGTAGGTGGATTTGGATCTTGCAGGACCTCCTTGGCATTGCTTTCTGCCTCAACTTCATGAAGACCATTTCACTGTCCAACTTCAAGGTACCTCTGAACAGCCCCTCCTTTCATCATTAATTAACATTAACATTAATTATTTCCTTTTGTACTTTGGTAGGCATATGGAGTACTTGTACTGTCATTATTATATTTACTTGAGTATATATTTTTATATTTATTGCCATTAGTATATCACACACTGTCCCATTGTCCCAGAGCTTGACTTTGCATCAGCAAGTCATTGGCAATTAATGCAATTCTGATTTTAAAAAAGTGTTTGAATATATATTTTTTGTCAATATTCAATCTGTGAATTTCTTTTTCCACAATGACGTAGATCTGTGTGATTCTGCTGAGCCTTCTGCTTGTGTATGACGTCTTCTTCGTTTTCATCACTCCTTTCTTCACCAAGGTATGAGTATATTTATTATTATATATTATTATTATTATTGTGTTATTATTTGTTGTTTTGTTTGTATTTCTCCGGCCTGGTGTGGTCAGGTTTTCCACATACTTACTGAGTTAAACATTTTCACTCAGTATTTGCTATTTTTATGTTCAACCCTTCGTTGTCGTATATGTTTTTTCAGTTATCATATTTTACTGATACATAAAAGCTTAATTCAAATGAACAAGTGATGATTAGCAAAAGGAACCGTACACACAGATAAAGACACCTAATATCATTAAATAAGAGATCATTTTACAGCTCTGGCGTTGCAGTATAATGCACGGTGGTTTTACAAACGGATGAGTAACATAATATGAATGCTCATCATCTCTCTCCGTCAACAGAATGGCGTTAGCATTATGGTGCAGGTTGCCCTGGGCCCGGATGCATCTGGAGAGAAGGTAAGTCCCCTCCAGCATTGCTTTCTTCTTTGAAGGGGAACTCCACCAAATGGTCTTTCAAGGCATTTATAAAATATTTGGTAAAATTCCACACGTAATTTGTTTCACTGTTGAAAACTGAATGAACAGCCTCCTTTTTTAAATTTTAGTTTTATGTATGTAGAATTATAGCAGAAATAAATGAATGCTTTTATATATGAGGAAACGCTTCTTTAAACCAACTCAGGCTTTTTTACTATTGGAAGTTTGTTTTTTATGTGTGTAGCTCAAGACATTTCAAGAAAATAATTTATTAGCAAATTGAAGACTGAAACATCGTTCTGTGTATAAATAAATTGGTGGGGTGAATTTGTGTTGGAGAAGAGCAGCATGCAGCAGTTTCTGATCTTAGGAGTGCAGCGGGTTTATCACATCCTGAACAACAAGCTAAAAGAGGAGCTTGGTGGAATTCCCTGTCAAGTTTGTTCTGGCTTTATTAACATGCTGGCTGATCTGCACTGCTTGTTGTTGATGCCCTGAGGGGAATGATAGACTGACTGACTAACTGTGCGCTGGGGTTGGGTGGGCTCTGTCATAGACGCAAGGTAACATGGTGGAGGTCCCTGCTGAACCCCAGACTCCCTCTGAGAAAGTAAGGCTTGACTTGTTACCCATCCACTCCACATCTTTCTACATCCTGAGGCGGGTGGGAAGGAGTTGTAGATGTTTGGTCTCAGATAGACTCTAGAATCCCACCTTTATACTTTTAACGTATATAAATAAATAAATAAAAAATAGAATATAATGATAAATATAATGGGGAACGTTTTGTATTGGACATTTCTTTTGTTTTATATAGTCCTCTATGTAGACACACATGGACCCAACAAACTGTCAAAAACAGGAGAGCTTACTAAAAAGAAATCAAAATAATGGGACAAAATACTCTAAAGTAATAAAAAATCCTTACTTTAGTGGTATAATTATGCACTGAACCAGTTGTGTGCACTCACAACTTTTCTTAGTGCCAATCCTGTTCATGTGTTTCTATGTTATTCCTCTTTCTTTTCATTAGTAGTTACGCTTTTCCCTATCCCTTTCACAAAAGTGCCATGTGAAACAAGTAAAGGAACACATGTAGACTCTCACATGATTGTCAGGTGGTATGTGCTGATAAGTCACTTGAGTTCGTATTTTGAATACAGCAGATTATTTAATTTAAAAGCAGCGTTTTCATGTTGGTAATGGATTTGATCTTCAGGGGGTTTCATTTTGTGTTTGTTTATAGAAAAGTTTTTTTATTTATATTGCATTTGAGTTGATTTGATTGTTTTCGCATGAATATGGTACGTTTTGTTTTAGTTATGTTATGTTAGACGTGCCAGAGGATTCAGTAAGGAATGTTAAGCCATTGCAGGATAGCTGAAGCAGAGTTTCCCCTAGGCGTCTTCCTGTAGCACAGCTTACGATTCTGAGAACAGTACTTGTTCATTTTTTTACTGACACCCTAACTGAAAACAAATCTCTTGGTGTCATACTAATTATGAGAACAGCAAGATTCATTCTGAGAGTGTCCTTACTGTCCACACAGACCATACAGATTCAGTCAAAGTCATCTCTGAGAAATGTATATGAAGTAAATTAAGTCAAATTAAGTCCAACTACAGCTCAGTGTATTTGGATGTATAAAGCACAACAATTCTGCTGTCATACGTTATGTAATTGTAAACCTATAAAATGTGTTATATCCTCAGCTGCCAGTGGTTATGCGTGTCCCGCGGTTCTTAGCTTGGGCTCAGAACCTGTGTGGGATGCAGTTCTCCATTCTGGGTTACGGAGATATCATTGTTCCAGGTGAGGTTAAAGCGTCACCGTCAGTGTTCACATAAATCACCCCTGGTAAATATTTTAAATCCAGACTGTGGCTGGTGGGCACCAGTCAGTTTAACAACAAACGGAAAAGCTAAATAAGTAGGGTGTACAGTTCCCTACAAATAAAGTGCTCTTTATTTATTTAATATTATTTTTTTTTAATGTCATTAAATTATTCTCATTTGTTTAGGCTACACTTTTTGCTTTAAAAGTCCCTAAACCAAAAAAGCGAGCATACATGTAAAATGGCAGCTGAAAAAGAGTAGGAGTGTAGTGTGATGTATCACTCACCCTCTGCGTCCTCATTGGTCCAACAGGTCTCCTGGTGGCCTACTGCAGCAGGTTTGATGTTTGGATCAACAGCAGAAGGAAGGTCTACTTCATCAGCTGCTGCATCGGTACCTCACAGCTCACCTATACTGTCGTTATTCACATGTTGTGCCTTTGCTCTTGCAGCATGACCACACAGAAACATCATATATAGTTTAGAGTCATTTGAATTGCATCATCCATCCCTCCATCCATTGTAGCTTTGCTGCTTTATACCGCACACACTCTCCTATAATCCTTTTGCACAAATATTTTTAATACTTAGTGATGTTGTTTTTGCTGACCTCTAGGTGTCTCTGGTATTTTAATTTTCCCAAATTAAGAAGTTTACAGACTTTCACTGCTTTCAAGTTCTGATTGTATCTGTGTGTCTCCCTCCTTCTGTGTTTGTATTTGTCCGTCTCTCTCATTCCCTGTAGCCTATCTGCTGGGAATGATAATGACGTTCGCTGTGATGCTGCTGTCAGGGATGGGCCAGCCTGCCCTACTCTACCTGGTGCCCTTCACCCTGATAACCTCTGCCGTGGTGGCTGGGTGCAGGGGAGAGATGAGGCAGTTCTGGGCAGGAACCACCTATGAGGTGAGAGGAGAACAGAAGAGAATTGAGTGTTCCTGTACAGGTTTGGCACAGCACTGGTACTTGATAGCTGTGTTGGTACTTCCTCTGAGTTTTCAAACAGGTTTCAGTGAATTTCTGAACAACCTCGCTTCTCTTTTATCTGTTTTCCACCACCAGTTCATTAAACTAAAGTCAACATGCTATTCCAAAGAGTGAAGTACACAGCACAGCTTATTGCCAAGACATATCCTCACTGCTAATCACTAGAAGGATATTGCAGATATTTACTAATACTAATCTGTATTTTGAATGGCAGCCTCAAGGGATGGTATTCCAGGCAGTTTTCCCTGCTCCACAACTGTTTCTTGTCCTGATGTGTAAAATTATGTGAACTCAGTTGTGACTCTGTTTGTATCTGTAGAAGTTTAAATCTTAGGTACTGCTGTCTTATATGTACTGCATGGTCCACAGCACAAGTCAGATAGTGTTAATGTTTTGAGTGATCTTGAGGAAATGTGGAAGAGAATCTGCAGTCGCAATTTTTATTGTAAAGTGTATTTTCTGATTTGTATTACTAGGCCTTAAGTAATGTTTCCAACCCCTTTTGAATCTTACCCTTTACATCACTCAGCTCTCTGCAGCTAAAGGTACTGAGTAAACACTGCAGGTTCACTACACTGTCACTGCTCTTACTTCAGGCCTACATTTCATAAATATGCTACGAGTCACCCACTTGTAGTATATTAGCTGACTCTATTATAGGGTTGGGCGATGTGTTAAAAATTTTTATTCGGCCAGCGTCAGTCCAGCAATCAGCGATTGCTGAAATATTCGCCCATGTGTGCTGTGCCTGCACATTCTGGCTCTACACGCTATCGCTGCCTCTGTGATGCCCGACCTCCCTCGCTCCTCTACCGCTTCATGCCTCTCCTCTCCTGGCCTGTTCCTCTCCTGTCCCTGCTGTGTCCTCATGTTCCCCGGAGTCTTGTTTGGAGCCTCTGTGAATCACCTTGTTACTGTACTCCCTGTTGTCACACTAGTCGAAATAAACCCTTAATTCCCCACGTTAGATGTGAAAATACACTGGAGCTAGAGCTGTTTTTCCTCTCACTCGTTCTTGGGCTCAGTGGGTGTACTGCGCCACTAAGGCAGACCATTAAATTAGCAATAAAATGACCCAACAGGAGATGGCCAATATATTTGTCCAATCGCCCAACCCTACTCTATTCCAGTATATTGTGCTTTCTTTAAAGACCTGAATGTATAACAACGAAGAGACATCTGTCATTTACATGTGCCTAAAGTGCTTCACACTGAAGAGCAAATATACATACAGTATTTAGAGAATATAGATAGATGCAGTATATACATATACATAGATGCATACATAGTGTACGAACAAACATGAAATTAAAAATAACCACAAAGAAAACACATTCAATCAAATGCACTAGAGAACAGGAAAGGTTTTGAATTTTTACATTAATTATTATTGGAGCATTACAACCACTAGCACCATAAATTCACCTGCTGATATATTTATTTAATACCACCTCACCAGTTGCTGGTGTTTTTCAGTCTGCATTCATGTAGAGAATTAAACAGTTTGTAGTTGATGGACAGCACGAATCATGAATAAATCCTTTAGGTTCCTATAATTTCTCAAACTGAGGTTGTAGATTAACTCTGACATGTATGAATGTGTGAATATGCTTGTGTGTAAGAGACAAAAAAAGAGCAGGAAAGAGATGTAATTCTGACCTGGCTTCATCTTCACCAGGTGTTGGACTCATCCAGGGAACCTTTGCTGCCAGGTTTGCTTCCCTCCAATCCAGACCTCTCCCTTGCATTTCTCCTACCATTTTATAATGTTGCTTAATGCTCAATGCTGCAGTGCCTTATCTTTTCTTTCCAGCTTCTTTATGTCCCCTTTTCGTTTTTCTTGTGACATTTCAACCCCTGATTTCCAGGGTCAATGTGATATTCAAAGACACAACTGATGTTATACCTAGCTTAAAATGGTAAAACTCAGAGGACCTCAGTTTAGACAGTACCGTGTCTTACATTAACTGACCACTAGGTGTCTGTAGTTGATTGAAAATACGCCTCTTATATGTCAGAAGAGCTTCTCAGCCACACTCCAAAGTGCACTCGGGTTAAAGCCATGGCCCTGGAATGCCACTAACTTCATCTCTTTATTTCTGCAGTTTGTTTTATCATTTTTTCTCTCCGCTCATCCATGTATTCCAAGCAACGGGACTACTTGTATCACTCCATCCTTCATGACATTACCAACATGTTCGTGTTGCCCTCTGCATGTTGTTGCTTGCAGTTAACCTGGGAGAGCTGTGGCATGGATTTTGGGATGTGTTATCTCTTTGGGTTTGCATTTGTAGAACGTACCGCTCGTATACTGCTGCAGTACGCATTACAAATTAAAATCTCATCTACGTAACTGTCTTTCTTTCTTTCTTTGGTATTTGGTAAACCAAAACATTCAATAGAGGAGTTATTAACTCTTTCTCTCCTTTTTTCTTCAGAGGGAAGAACTGACAACTCCATAGAAGGAGAGAAATGCTGACTTACAGTGTTAAGAATGGACCCAACTGCTGGATGCTTCTTTTTTTTTTTTACATTTTAATATAACATTTGCAAAGCAAGGGAATATATGTTATTGATAAACAGATTCTTACAACAGTGTGGGTTCATTTGACTGCTATGAATGGTGGTTAGAAGGCTAATCTATATTGTGTAGGTGGAACAGAGCTGTTTTTAAGTGATTGAAAGGCTTGTTTAGTGCCTGAAAGTTCAGTTAATTGTAATGACTTTGCCTTGGTGATGATTGCATACAGCAAAATGAGAAAGCACTTTATAATATTCAGCTTGACGGTTGTTTCATCAGGGGTGGGGTTGGGGGTTTAATTACTTATAGCCAACAATATTGATACATTTTTGATAACTGTTTTGGGGTTTCTGTGTAACCTGTTTGTATGATGTGATTTCTTTCATTGCCTTATATTAAAATGAACTTTGATTTAATGTTATTGTTGTATGTGTATTTCTCTCCTTGTTGACACTTCCACACAAATACTTGAACTAAAATCTTCTCTAGAGAAACGGAGAGCTGTTGTTGTGATTGGAAAAAAATCTACACAGATATTCAGTTTTTAAAGGTTCCCATTAGTGGGTTTATGATAAACATATTGTGCTTGTGTGTTTAACTGTTGTTATAATTTTGTATCATTCTGAATATAGGTTGACTTCTTTTTACGTTAGAATAACAAGAGAAAGAAGAAAGACCAAAACTGGCAGCTAGGGGCGGATCTAGAGGGGCAGCATGGGGTGGCGGCTGCCTGGCCACCTTAGTTTAATAAAGTCAGATTTAACACATTTAAATTTCATTTAGATTAGTTTAAAAATAACGTTAAAAACCGAGAATGATATGTCACATATACCATTATCATATGATATAACTATCAGGTCACAGAATAAGCGATGGGGTTAAATCCAATGAACAGATGCATTATATTTGGTAGAAATGTCCCACGATAACCTAATGCTGTTTCTCTACATCCACCCTGATGGCAGCTATGAAATATTCAGCACTGATTTTCCTTCCAAGCACTAAACACTATCTCCTTGTGACATGCTCATTGATTAACTTAGTACATTTTTTATGGCTATTAATCAATGATTAAGGATTAATAAAGAAGACATTAGTTACTGATCACACACCCTTATACAAAGTGGAGCCTCATACACTCACGGTGTGTGTGTGTGTATGTGTGTGTGTATGTGTGTGTGTATGTATGTGTGTGTGTGTGTGTGTACATTACAACTGAGCCAGGTGAGACAGCAATAGGGAAGTTAAAATCCCGGATCTTTTCTTCCTTCTTTTAACTAAAACAAAGCGCACATGTGTCCTGGCTCCGCCTCTGTCAGCCATGTGACAGTGAGCAGGCTGACTCAGCCGGCTCGTCATGCAGCGTCAGTTCGGAGTCGCACAATTATGAAAAAGCAACCTTCCGTTGTAACTACAGCCGAAGCGGATCTCTGCAGCGTCCACCACCGGGCTTTCCTTCCAGGGCTAACACAGAGCACCGCCGATAGATGGATAAAAGCCACCACGCAGCTCTTCCTGAGTCTCAACGGTGAAGAGAATGGTATGTGGTCCTCTCTGGGCGGCCGACCGCTTTCCTCCGGGGTTTTATAGGCTCGTCAAATTGGCGCTGAGGACCGTGGTGACTGACCGGAGGGTGTTTGAGTGGCAGGTCCCCCCCTCATGCATGCTGCCTCCTCCTGTCAGACACCCAGCCGATCTTCCCGGTGGGCTTTCCCCCCCGTTTGCTGGCTGTCTGCCTGCTCCGCTCCAACACAGCGACACAGGCCGTGATAAGTGAAGTGTACACGGTGACAGTGTGTAGCAGGGAAACCCCAAAACACACACGGGCGTAACGTTAGCAGGCTAAATGGCTAGCTCGCTAGCGCTGAATGCTAGGCACATAACCCGAGCTAACTAGCTGCGGTAGCTGATGTTAGCAGCGGGTCGGTCGCTGGAGGACAACAGAGACACAGACGGTCCTCAGCAGACGGTCCTCGACATGCTGGACACACATACGGGTGCAGTTCAGAGCAGCTGGCACTTGTTCGGGACACATTTCTGCCAGCTGCCTCAGATGTCGGACAAGACACACTGTCATTGCCAGTAACAAGTCAATGCCACCTTGAATGGCTGCCAGCTCCGTTTAAAGTGAAGGTCTTTATTCAGCCAGCGTCGGGAAAAGTGAAGCGATGTTGATATAGAGCGTGTATTATCGTATTTGTTAGGAGCTCTGTGCGCCCACTCATGGTTGTTTGCTTTTTCTCGAGGGTTACATGTTTCAGGCCTGCTGCAGACATTTGCTGAAGACTTGTATCAACAGTGTTTTTAAGTTGTAATTGGTCCTCTTCCTCTTCTTGTAAAGCCCGGCCTCCTCTTTTTCCAAGAATTTCCTGCCTGCTTCTGTCTAGTCTTGTAGGCTCAGGGTGAATGGAAAGGGAAGATGAGTTGTAGCCAAAAACTGTGAGTCAGATCTGAGTGTGTGGGAGCTGGGTAGTATTAACAACACAAACTATCATAATATACCCAGTACTTGTGTGTGTATATACACACATAGAGACATTATTTTGCGATAACTTTGTGATGTAGTTATTTTTGTGTAAAATCTAATGAGATGGGCACGTCTGGTTGGGTTGGTTCCAGTGAATTATACAGCCGGCAAATAGAGGTTATTCATCAAGTCACACTGTTGCTATTGATCATCACTGCTCATTAATTTCCAACATTGCCCACACAGACCTCCTACAGCCTGAGATAATAAAAGATACGATGAGACGCCATGGTATGAAGAGTGTGGCTAGATCTATTCTTATTGAAAAATAGGTGTACTTTGGTTAAAAGTAAAAACAAGTAATCGTTAATGTGGCTGCGAAGGCCGAGCAGCAGTTGTTCATTCAGCTCACATTCAGGAGATGGTTTCATTGAACTCTGTTGTTGCTCGTATGGCGAGGGAAATATCATTATCCAGACGTCAGATAATATCTTATCTCACATTACAGTATTGATATGTCTCCTCCACAGTACCTTTCTTTATTCGCTGAGGCATCAGAGCAGCCCGTACCTGTCTTGTTTCCCACAGTGCTGCCCTGAGCCGGTCACATGCCCCAGCTTACCCCCGGATGAGGGACACTGCTACTGCTCTGAGTAGACTGATAGCCGTCTGATGAGCCAATGCCGGTTCATCAGAGTAATCGGCGTGATTTGATCAATATCACTAACCGCTTATAGAGCTTTATTGTTGCGAGTCAGAGTCTCTTATGTAATAGTGGATGGTTGAACCGGTCATTAGCTTGAGCTTTAGCACTCTGTGAGCTGCTAGAAAATGGTCTTGCATTACTTTGTTGTGCTCCAAAGTAAACTCTGGCACCGCTGGTGTGTGTGAGGGTTTGTGTACTGAACGTGTGTGTCTGACTGCGTGCGTGTTTCAGCCTGCGGAGTGACTATGGCCTGTCTCTCTGAGCTCTGTTATCTCACGCTCTAATCCATTTGCATCACACACAGAAGCCCATTTGAAGATGACTGATGAAGTTTTTCCAGTGGCCCTCGACTTTTTCAAAAAAAATTGGTCACAGTGTCAGTTTGTTGATTTTATGAATGGAGTTCTCCCCTGTAGTTTTTATCAAGCTGATTTCCCCCCCCCCCCCCCCCCCC